CAATAACAAAATTAAAGCAAACAAAAAATTAATGTTGTCAGTATCAAAGAAAAATGTTTTTTCTGGGAATGCTACATTTCAAATTTAAATATATTTGTGTCTCAAATGATGTCACGTTTTGAATGGTTTTAGCAAGCTTTAAAACACCAGGAAACAAATATATTAAATACTAGTCTAGAAGCCGACTTTCAGGTGGACTTTACGCAAGTTCCTGTAAAGTGTTTTGGGCCTTCGACCTTTTTACTTCAGCGTCCTATGTACGAAAAAGTTATAAGAATTTTTAAATAATAAAATGATTTTTTTTTTATTCTATACCAAGGGTCGGCAACCTACGGCTCGCGTGCTGGATCCGGCCCGCGAAGGCATTTTGACCGGCCCGCAAGCCTGATTACCAATGACTATTTCTAACATGAGAAACGAGGCTTTCGAATTAGACTATCTGCCAGTTATCTTTCATGAGTTGCGTTGCTTACGTTTAATGTCAAATAATGGATACATATTTGTTATGACCCTTGGCTACATTAAAAGATAACAGAAGCGAAAGGAACGATAAAGTGAAAAAGGCCAGGGAGGGACTGACATGCGAGGTAGCAGAAATCTAAAGACAGTTAAACATACGTGCATTATACATACATGCCGCATGAATGTGTGCATGATACCGCATGTGTACGTACGTAAGTGTATATGTTTGCAACTATTTGTACTCGTATGTATGGGTATATGTGCTTTGATTTTGTTTGATGTGTGTGTGTGTGGTTCATTTGTAGAACAATTTTCAATAACAGTTTCAAATCTACACGTCATAATTTCATCCATTTCACTTCGGTTGATTTGTTTCACTTTGAAGTATTTTGACGTTCCTTGAGGAAAAGTAATTTTTGTTAGGTGTTTTTTTTTAAATTTTAGATTTTCTTTTGTTTTTCTGATTTCTCAATGTTTATTTTCATTATGGTTTTAAATATTTAGGTTGACAGGGGTCTGCATATGTAATTTTCCTTAATTTTTCATTAATGACCTTCGTCCGGCCCGCGACCCGCCATTATAACACGATCCGGCCCGCGGGGGTCGAATGAATTGCCGACCCCTGTTCTATACCATAATCTTTCTTCGTATACGCAACTGATCCCCGTATTTTGCATAAATTTATTTTGTGTACAATTTTCTTTTAAAATCCCCATTCTTTATGATCCTTTCATATAAAGTCACACTTAAAAGACATTAAGGAACCCGAACTATGTAATATTTTGAATAAGACACAGTACGAATGCTAGAAAAAGGAAAAAAGTCACAGTACGAATGCTAGAAAAAAGAAAAAAGTCACAGTACGAATGCTAGAAAAAGGGAAAAAGTCACAGTACGAATGCTAGAAAAAAGAAAAAAGTCACAGTACGAATGCTAGAAAAAAGAAAAAGTCACAGTACGAATGCTAGAAAAAGGGAAAAAGTCACAGTACGAATGCTAGAAAAAGGGAAAAAAGTCACAGTACGAATGCTAGAAAAAGGAAAAAAAGTCACAGTACGAATGCTAGAAAAAAGAAAAAAAAACATATGAGCAACATACCGTGCCCTTCTTATGTTTTAATTACAACTTAATTAAACGATATCAATTGCATTTGCGACGAAAAGCGAAATTAAAGTTAAACCTTCAACAAAGAATCGTTTTTTTAAAACTTTCACTCTGTTCGATATTTAAATCTAACTTTAAATGAGTTATTTAATTTTTGATTGCGTGTAACTACAGTGGTTACTGTGGCGTAATTTAAGTGTCTTAAATTACAGGAGGGGGGAGAAGAAGTGAAGATGAAGGCTTTGTTTGTTTTGACGTCGGAACTGGTTAACGCGTTGAATTTAAAATTGATTTATTGCATATAAAATACAACAAAGGCACAAAACGAAAACTGAGGGGAGGGAATGGCTTGTTGTCACTTACTATCTCATACCTGGGTAATCGACCCCACGGCCCATTCATTCATTACAATTTACACATCCACCACAAGAACTCATCCATCATCATTCAATCCTCCATATAGCACAAGACCGCAATACTCTCAGAAAAACACCTCTTGACATGAAAATTTAATGAGCATAAACTACCATATATAACAATCTGCTGATGATATGCAATGAGGGGCGGATGAACCCCAAAACAAATTAAAATATTAAACCAAATACACAAAAATAAGGATTATTGATGCTGGTTGGATCCGTCAAACCCTCAAAAGAATTAAAAGAGGTCGTTGCATTTCGTCTTCAGGCAAAATCAAGAGGCTGTCTCACTAAGGAAGAGTGAAGGATAAAATAAATACGGCCATGGGGAAAAAGTGGCCAAAAACAAATTGAGGAGGTTTGAGAATCTCGACTTGAATCATTACTAAAGAAGAAGGCGGTAACAGGACAGAAATGGTACATTAACTAGGTACACAATAAGAGTCTACCATAACTAGATGAGGGCTCTACAGGAAACTACCCCAATGTGACTTAGGGAGACCAAAAAATGAAAATCAAAGCTCGCCCCGTTCAGACGAACCAGGCTCTCTTCGGTCACCCATCTTTCGCTGAAATCTGTCGAACCCAATTGCTTAATTCTAATATTCATCTTGAGTTGATGCTCAAAGAATCGGATTACATCCTGATGAGAATAACGGTCACCTTGCAAGATTTCCTCTAATCGCGTCGTCCAAATTACCACTTGGGCCGTGGCCAGTAGCGATAGAAACACCATCCGTTTCACCTCAGAATATGGGGGTGACACATTGTCAGACACACATGCACCATTAATTAGCACGAGCTTTTCGGGGGCGATACGAGCCGTCAACTCGCCGACATGGTCCCAGAGGACAATGGTTAAAGGCGTGTGAAGCCGTTTCTTTTAAGCCATGTTCACATTGTTGACAGTCTGGCAAATCCAACAAACCTCATATGAAGGCCTTGTCTTTGACAAATAGCCTGTTCCGAATCATTCGCCAGGTAAGTAAAAAGTTGCTGAGGTAATCCGCTGCTGGCGTCCAAGACTAAAACGTGCGCCACTCGCCCGCTAAGTTGAGTCCGCCGCGTAGCGGATCCTTCGCGACTTCCTCCACTATTTCACGATAGAAGATCTTCCTAGCCCAAGAAAAGTTACTGGACCGAGAAACGACCCTCAAAGAGGAAACTCAATTACGAAGGCGCTCAGCCCGGGAGATGGGTGGAGTGATAGTAAGGTAGGGAAAGCTTCCTTCAAAATACCCGCCAAAATCGAGTACCTTGTCAATGCGCGGCTTGGTAAAGCTAGCCTCGAGACGTGTTTGTGACTCGCAAAGTGCACGGACGCTGAGCACAGACTTCTCTGCCGACATGCTGCTTGCGTCCCTCCACAAGGGGGGGGGAGCAAGCGATCGATCACCTTATTACGTTCCTACAGAGAGGAAGTACAGACAAGCGTTAAAGGACAAGTGGAAAGACGTAAGTGGCATACGCCTCAGCCGTGCCTTTCACGGACAACATCCTACAGGCGCCGAGTCTCGACCGCCGCACCGACCTTTGTCTGTACTTCGGACCAATTTTTCTCCAGCTGGAGGTCAGGTCCAAACCACAATCCGAGAAGGCGGGCAGGACCGTCCGTCCAAGTGACTGGCTTCGGAAGATCGACCTCTTGTCAAGCACCCAACAGAATCTCGACAACTGACAGCAAATGCTCCGTCAGGATCTTGGCCAAAATCTTTAACTTAGTGTTTAGCAGAGTTATGGGCCTGTAATCATCTAAATCCCGCACAATACCTTTGCCCTTTTTTAACAGCGTAATCACACAACTGGAGATCTTGTTTGGGGCAACCCTAGCGGAAAAAAGATGTGCAACAGCCTCATGTACAATTCACAGGACAAATCATCAAGTCGCGTAAACCGCGCCCTCTATTTTATTGTTCTCTCTCACTTCTCCACATTGTTTCATTATCTTCAAATTTATAGTGATTTGCTAAGTGAAACTTAGATTTGGCACAAGGCCGAAATTATGGTGCACCCAGTGAAGATCAAATTCAATACTCAGTCATAATTGATCTAGCGAGAAAAGCTTGCTAACCATTACACCACATCAAAGTGCCCAGCGATTTACTAAGCGTAGCTTAAATGTGGCACAAGGCCGAAATTTATGGAGCAGCTAGAGAGGATCAAACTCACTCGTAATTGATTTAATAAGAAAAGTTTGCTAACCATCGCAACAGCTCGATGTCCCCGGCGATTTACTAAGCGTAGCTTAGACGTGGAACAAGGCCGAGATTAGGGAGCAACCAGTGAAGATCAAACTCACTGGTAATTGATCTAGTAAGACAAGCTTGTTAACCATTACAACACGTCTAAGTGTTCTCTCCAATTTTATATAGATAAACTGCATTAAAAAATATGAAAAATTCAAATAAAGAAAAACTATTCGGGAGAATTTTTAAAACTGATTTATCTCATACTTGTCATTGTGAGTTTATCGTTTGAATGTAGCGTCATTTATTTATATATATATATATATATATATATATATATATATATATATATATATATATATATATAAGATATTCTGTATTATAGTTATCATTATAAACAACAACAACAATGAAGACAAAAAGAAAATCACCTAAGAGACAACAATAGCAAAAATATCAATAACAGTAACGTTGAAAAAAAGAATTCTGACGATACGACAGTAAAAAGTTCACCTATTGTCTCGTCAATAGGCGAAAAGATAAGACGTTGTGTTATATCTGAGATTTTTGCCAATACATCATTCTTTATAAAACGGTGGCCACGTGTGAGGTTAAGGCTTCAAAAATACTTCTCTGTGGTAATATAATGACAAATATCGATATGAAATAGGAAATAATAATAATAATAATAATAATAATAAAAAACATCAGTTAATGTATAGAAAAATATAAAGATAAAATGGTCTAGTACTAATATCTGCTGTGCAATTTACTTTGAATCTTTTCAATACAAACCAATACATCAAATGCGTCAACGCCTTTGTAGGCTCTAGGCCGGGATGGTGGGTGGTGGGAATTGAGAATTTATGCAAGAGTCGATCTCGGGGAATGAAAAAAAGGGAGAGAGAACAAAAGTGGATGTATGTGTGTGTGTTGTGTGTGTGTGTGAGAGAGAGAGAGAGAGGGAGAGAGAGACAGAGAGACAAAGAGAGAAAGAGAGAGACAGAGAGAGGATGTAAAAAGAGGTGGCGGTGGGGGAACAAAAGAAAACAATGTAAGGAAGAAAAAAGAAAAATAACAGATAAAGGTAAAGATAAAGAGAATAGGAGGAGAGTGAAAGGAAATGGAAGAAGATGACGATGAAAGAGAACAGGAAAGGGGAGAGGAGTATGCGGAAAAGGAAGTAGAAGAAGATACCGATGAAAGAGAAGAGGATTAGGGTGAGGAGATGTTGGAAAAGGAAATAGAAGAAGATAACAAAGAAAGAGAATAATAGGAGGGAGAGGAGAAAAGAGAAAAGGAAATCGAAGAAGACAACAATAAGAAAGAATAGGCGGAAAGCGAGGAGAAGGCGGAAAAGGAAAGTAGAAGATGATAACGATAAAAGAGAACAGGAAAAGGGAGGGGAGATTTGTAAAAGGAAATAGAAGATAAATAGAAGAAAGAGATAAGGAGAGGGCTAGGAGAAGTTGGAAAAGGAAATAGAAGACAAATAGAAGAAAGAGAATAGTGGGAGGGAGAGGAGAAGAGTGAAAAGGAAATCGAAGAAGATGAAGATAAAAGAGAATAGGAGGGGAGAGAGAGAGAGGAGAATTTTAAAAGGAAATAGAAGATAACTATGAAAAAGATAGGAAAAGGTCTAGGAGAGGTTGGAAAAGGAAGTACAAGACAGAGACGAAGAAAATGAAACAGAATAGGAGGATGGAGAGAAGAAGACAGAAAAGAAAATAGAAAAAAGATGATGATGAAAGAGAATATGAGGAGGGTGTAGAGAGGAAAGAGAATATGAAGAGAGGTAGAGGGAAAGAGAATATGAAGAGAGTGTAGAGAGGAAAGAGAATGTAAGGAGGAGGTGTAGAGGAAAGAGAATATGAGGAGGGTGTGGGAGAGGAAAAAGAATAGAGGAGAGTGTGAGAGGGAAAGAGAATATGAGAGGAGAGTGTGGGGAGGAAAGAGGGAATATGAGGAGAATGTGGGGAGGAAAGAGAATATGTGGAGAATATAGGAGGAAAGAGAATATGAGGAGGTGTGGGGAGGAAAGAGAATATGAGGGAGGTGTATGGGAGGAAAGAGAATATGAGGAGAGGTGTAGAGGAAGAGAATATGAGGAGAAGAGGTAGAGAGGAAAGAGAATATGAGGAGAATGTAGAGAGGAAAGAGAATATGAGGAGAGGTAGAGAGGAAAGAGAATATGTGGAGAGTGTAGAGAGGAAAGAGAATATGGGAGAGTGTAGAGAGGAAAGAGAATAAGAGGAGAGAGTGTAGAGAGGAAAGAGAATAAGAGGAGGGGTGTAGAGAGGAAAGAGAATATGAGGAGGAGGGGTGAGAATAGGAGGGGTGTAGAGAGGAAAGAGAATATGAGGAGAGTGTAGAGAGGAAAGAGAATATGAGGAGAGTGTAGAGAGGAAAGAGAATATGAGGAGGGTGTAGAGAGGAAAGAGAATATGAGGAGGGTGTAGAGAGGAAAGAGAATATGTGGAGAGTGTAGAGAGGAAAGAGAATATGAGGAGGGTGTAGAGAGGAAAGAGAATATGAGGAGAGTGTAGAGAGGAAAGAGAATATGAGGAGAGTGTAGAGAGGAAAGAGAATATGAGGAGAGTGTAGAGAGGAAAGAGAATATGTGGAGGGTGTAGAGAGGAAAGAATAATATGAGGAGAGAGTGTGGGGAGGAAAGGGAATATGAGGAGGTGTGGGGAAGGGGAATATGAGGAGAAAGAGAAATATGAGGAGAGTGTAGAGAGGAAAGAGAATGTGAGGAGGGTGTATGAGGGAGGAAAGAATATGGGGAGGAGGGTGTGGGGAGAGAAAAGGGGAGAATATGAGGAGGTGTGGAGAGGAAAGAGAATAAGGGGAGAGTGGAGGGAAGTGGGGAGAGGAAAGAGAATATGAGGAGGGGTGTGAGGAAAGAGAATATATGAGGAGTGTGTGGGGAGAAGAGAATAGAGAGGAAAGAGAATATGGGGGAGGGTGTGAGAGGAAAGAGAATGTGAGGAGAGTGTAGAGGGAAAGAGAATATGAGGGAGGGGTGGGGAGAGGGAATGAGGAGAAAGGAGGAGAGGTGGGGAGAGAGGAAAAGAGAATATGGGGAGGGTGTAGGGAGGTGTGGGAGGAAAGAATGTGAGGAGGTGTGGGAGGAAAGAGAATATGTGGAGAATAGAGAGGGAAAGAGAATATGAGGAGAGGTGAGAGAGGAAAGAGAATATGAGGGAGAGTGTAAAGAGGAAAGAGAGAATATGAGAGGGTGTAGAGAGGAAAGAGAATATGAGGAGGGGTGTAGAGGGAAAGAGAAGGGCAGGGAGAGGTAGAGAGGAAAGAGAATAAGGAGGAGAGTGTAGAGGAAAGAGAATATGAGGAGGGTGTAGAGAGGAAAGAGAATAGAGGAGAGTGTAGAGAGGAAAAGAGAATACAGGAGGGGTGTAGGAGGAAAGAGAATATGAGGAGAGTGTAGAGAGGAGAACACGAGGAGAGGTAGAGAGGAAAGAAATATGAGGAGAATATAGAGGGGAAAGAGAATAAGGAGGAGAGTGTAGGGAGGAAAGAAGGCGTGGAGAGGTAGGGAGGAAAGAGAACATGGGAGGGGTGTAGAGAGGAAAGAGAATATGAGGGAGAGTGTAGAGAGGAAAGAGAATAAGAGGAGAATATAGAGAGGAAAGAGAATAAGGAGAGGTAGAGAGGAAAGAGAATAAGATGGACATATAGAGAAAGAAATATAATGAGGGTGTTAGAGAGGAAAGAAAATGGAAGAGGGACATGAGAGAGGAATAAACATGAGGAGAGTTAGAGGAAAGGAATGTGAGGGGATGGACAGAGGAAAGAGAATAAGGAGGAGGGTGTAGAGGAGGAGAGAATGTTAGAGTGTACGAAAATGGAATATGTGGAGGGGTGTAGAGAGGAAAGAGAACAAGGGAGAGGTAGAGGAGAAAGAGAATATGAAAATTGGAGGAAAAGAGAATAATGAGGAGAGGAAAGAGAAATATAATATGGAAGGGTTAGAAAGGAAAAGAATGGAAGAGACATGAGGAGGAAAGAGAAAGGAGGTGGAGAGTTAGAGGGAAAGAGAATGTGAAGATTGGATGGAAAGAATGGGGAGAAGAGAGGAAAGAGAATATGGGAGGTGTTGTAGAGAGGAAAGAAAAATGAGGAGAACAGAGAGAAAAGAGAATATGAGGAGAGGTAGAGAGGAAAGAGAATATGGAGAGGGGTGTAGAGAGGAAAGAGAATAAGAGAGAGGGGAGAGAGGAAAGAGAATAAGAGGAGAGTGTAGAGAGGAAAGAGAATATGAGGGAGAGGTAGAGAGGAAAGAGAATATGAGGAGGGGTGTAGAGAGGAAAGAGAATATGAGGAGAGTGTAGAGAGGAAAGAGAATATGAGGAGGGTGTAGAGAGGAAAGAGAATATGAGGAGAGTGTAGAGAGGAAAGAGAATATGAGGAGAATATAGAGAGGAAAGAGAATATGAGGAGAGTGTAGAGAGGAAAGAGAATATGAGGAGAGTGTAGAGAGGAAAGAGAATATGAGGAGGGTGTAGAGAGGAAAGAGAATATGAGGAGAGTGTAGAGAGGAAAGAGAATATGAGGAGAGTGTAGAGAGGAAAGAGAATATGAGGAGGGTGTAGAGAGGAAAGAGAATATGAGGAGAGTGTAGAGAGGAAAGAGAATATGAGGAGGGTGTAGAGAGTAAAGGGAATATGAGGAGAGTGTAGTGAGGAAAGAGAATACGATGAGGGTGTAGAGAGGAAAGAGAATATGAGGAGGGTTGAGAGGAAAGAGAAGATGAGGGTATAGAGTGAAAGGGCAATAGAAAAGACAACGATGGAAGAAAATAGTCGGAGAAGGGCGAGATGCTATTGGAGAGACGGAGAGGAGATACTGGAAAAGGAAATAAAAAAAGATAATGAGATAAGAGAGAGAAAGATGTTCGTGGAGAAGGTGGATAGCGATACCGGAGAAGATTCTGTTAAAGACAAAAGAATAGAGAGGGTCGGGGGATGCATCTCAACAAGTATGGGTGACGATTATTGTCTAGAAGGAAGAAAAGACTCTCGTACAAGTGAAGAAAAACCGGGTCGCCTTTGAAGAGTGGAGACTAAAGTACCTTAAATTGTTGCAGGAAGACATAAAAATGGATACGTGTAAAAAGAAAGTTTAGATAAGGAAAGATGAGATGTTAAATCTTACGACCCACCCCGAAAAAAAATAATTTTGAGAAAAAGTCAAACAGAAATTCTTGGTAAGAAGAAGACATAATGTTAAGTGGTTGCAAAAGTTGAAAGCACTTTTTTTTTTCAACTGTGTATTAAGTTCCCAAGGCATTTCCATTTTAGGCTACCTCAGGCCTCAGGAGTTGACACTGACACTTCCCCTTTAAGTGTAACAGGGAACATTAGAGAGTGAGTAAATGAGTTTGTGTGCATGTTAGAGAGAACGAGAGAGAGAGAGAGAGATAGATAGAAAGAAAGAAAGAGAGAGATACAGAGCGAGCGAGAGAGAGAGAGAGAGATAAATCAGACGAGGACATTAGGGAGAAAGGGAGAAACAAAACTGGAACATTAGAGAGAACGACAGAGATAAAATGCGAACGTTAGAGACAAAGAGAAACGTGGAGAAAATTAGAAAGACAGATGGGAATGACGTGTGAATGTTAGAGAGAAAGCAGTAGAGAACATCGGAGAGAAAGAGAAAAATAAAACGGAAAGGTTTAAGGAGAAGAATAGAAATTAGATAGACATAATAGAGAAAAACCAAAAAATATAAAGGGAATGTTAGAACGAAAAATGGAGAGAATATTAGGGAGAAAGAGAAAAAGAAACGGGGATATTAGAGAGGTGTGGTGAAATTGGATGGACATATTAGAGGGAAAGAAAAGAAATATAATGGGAATGTTAGAGAGAAAGAAAATGGAGAGAACATGAGAGAGAAATAAAACGGGGATGTTAGAGAGAAGGTGTGAAATTGGATGGACATATTAGAGGTAAAGAAAGAAATATAATGGGAATGTTAGAGAGAACGAAAAATGGAGAGAACATGAGAGAGAAATAAAACGTTGATGTTAGAGAGAAGGTGTGAAATTGGATGGACATATTAGAGGGAAAGAAAGAAATATAATGGGAATGTTAGAGAGAACGAAAAAATGGAAGAGAATATGAGAGAGAAATAAAACAGGGATGTTAGAGAAAAGGTGTAACGAATTGGATGGACATATTAGAGGAAAGAAAGAAATATAATGGGAAATGTTAGAGAGAACGAAAAAGAGAACATGAGAGAGAAATAAAACAGGGATGTTAGAGAAAGGTGTGAAATTGGATGGACATATTAGAGGGAAAGAAAGAAATATAATGGGAATGTTAGAGAGAACGAAAAATGGAGAAAACATGAGAGAAAAAATAAAACGTTGATGTTAGAGAGAAGGTGTGAAATTGGATGGACATATTAGAGGAAAGAAAAAATATAATGAGAATGTTAGAGAGAACAAAAATAGAGGGAACATGAGAGAGAAATAAAACGGAGATGTTAGAGAGAAGGTGTGAAATTGGATGGACATATTAGAGGGAAAGAAATAAATATAATGGGAATGTTAGAGAGAACAAAAATAGAGGGTACATGAGAGAGAAATAAAACGGGGATGTTAGAGAGAAGGTGTGAAATTGGATGGACATATTAGAGGGAAAGTAAGAAATATAAGGGAAGAGAGAACAAAAAAATGGAGACAACATGAGAGAGAAAAATAAAACAGGGATGTTAGAGAGAAGGTGTGAAATTGATGGACATAAAAAGAAAGAAATATAATTGGAATGTTAGAGAGAACGAAAATGGAGAGAACATGAGAGAAAATAAAACGGAGATGTTAGAGAGAAGGTGTGAAATTGGATGGACACATTAGAGAGAAAGAAAAATATAATGGGAATGTTAGAGAGAACGAAAAATGGAGAGAACATGTGAGAGAAATAAAACGCGGATGTTAGAGAGAAGGTGTGAAATTGGATGGACACATTAGAGAGAAAGAAAAAATATAATGGGAATGTTAGAGAGAACGAAAAATGGAGAGAACATGAGAGAGAAATAAAACGGGGATGTTAGAGAGAAGGTGTGAAATTGGATGGACATATTAGAGAGAAAGAAAGAAATATAATGGGAATGTTAGAGAGAACGAAAATGGGAGAGAAACATGAGAGAGAAATAAAACGTTGATGTTAGAGAGAAGGTGTGAAATTGGATGGACATATAAGGAAATGTCAGAAAGAAATATAATTGAATGTGTTAGAGAACAAAAAAAAGAAATATGGAAGAAACGAAAAATGGAGAGAGAAATAAAACAGGGATGTTAGAGAGAAAGGTGTGAAATTGGAACATATGGATGGAAATATTAATGTCAGAGAGAACGAAAAAATGGAAAGAACATGAGAGAGAAATATAATGTTAGGAATGTCATGACATATTAGAAGGAAAATGGGAATGTTAGAAGAACGAAAATGGAGAGAACATGAAAGAAAAAAACAGGGATGTTAGAGAGAAATTGGTGTGAAATTGGATGGACATATTAGAGGAAAGAAAAGAAATATAATGGGAATGTTAGAGAGAACGAAAATGGAGAGAACATGAGAGAGAAATAAAACGTTGATGTTAGAGAAGGTTGGATGGACATATTGGATGGAAATATTAGGAATGTCAGAAAGAAAATGGAGAAATATAATGGGAATGTTAGAGAGAAGGTGAAAATGGACATATGGAGAAGAAATATGAAAGAGAAATAAAACAGGGATGTTAGAGAGAAAAACGGGGATGTTAAGGTGTGAAATTGGATGGACATATTAAAGAGAAAGTAATTGGAAATATAATTGGAATGTCAGAGAGAAAGAGAAAAAAACGGAGAGAAGGTGAGAGAGGAAATAAAACGTTGATGTTAGAGAAAAAAATGGAGAGAACATGGTGTTGATGTTAGAGAGAAGGTGGGATGGACATATTAAAGGGAAAGAAATAAATATAATGGGAATGTTAGAGAGAACGAAAAATGGAGAGAACATGAGAGAGAAATAAAACGTTGATGTTAGAGAGAAGGTGTGAAATTGGATGGACATATTAAAGGGAAAGTAAGAAATATAATTGGAATGTCAGAGAGAACGAAAAATGGAGAGAACATGAGAGAGAAATAAAACAGGGATGTTAGAGAGAAATTGGATGGACATATTAGTGTGAAATTGGGATGGACATAATGGAGAAAATAAAAACGAAAGAAATATATGGATTTAGGAATGTCAGAGAGAACGAAAAAAAACAGAGAGAAATGAGAGAGAAATAAAAACGGGGATGTTAGAGAGAAGGTGTGAAATTGGATGGACATATTAGAGGAAAAGAAAGAAATATAATGGGAATGTTAGAGAGAATGAAAAATGGAAGAACATGAGAGAGAAAAATAAAACAGGGATGTTAGAGAGAAGGTGTGAAATTGGATGGACATATTAGAGCTAAAGAAAGAAATATAATGGGAATGTTAGAGAACGAAAATGGAGAGAACATGAGAGAGAAATAAAACGGAGATGTTAGAGAGAAGGTGTGAAATTGGATGGACATGAGGAAAGAAAGAAATATAATGGGAATGTTAGAGAACGAAAAAATGGAGAGAACATGAGAGAGAAATAAAACAGGGATGTTAGAGAGAAGGTGTGAAATTGGATGGACATATTAGAGGAAAAGAAAGAAATATAATGGGAATGTTAGAGAGAACGAAAATGGAGAGAACATGAGAGAAAATAAAACAGGGAATGTTAGAGAGAAGGTGTGAAATTGGATGGACACATTAGAGGAAAGAAAGAAATATAATGGGAATGTTAGAGAGAACGAAAAATGGAGAGAAATGAAGAGAAATAAAACAGGGATGTTAGAGAGAAGGTGTGAAATTGGATGGACATATTAGAGGAAAGAAAGAAATATAATGGGAAAATTAGAGAGAACATGAATGGAAAGAACATGAGAGAAATAAAATTGATGGGATGTTAGAGAGAAAAGTGTGAAATTGGATGGACATATTAGAGAGAAATAAAGAAAGAAATATAAATGGGAATGTTAGAAAGAACGAAAAATGGAGAACACGAAAAATGAGAGAAATAAAACAGAGATGTTAGAGAGAAAGGTGTGAAATTGGATGGACATATTAGAGGGAAAGAAAGAAATATAATGGGAATGTTAGAGAGAACGAAAAATGGAGAGAACATGAGAGAGAAATAAAACGGGGATGTTAGAGAGAAGGTGTGAAATTGGATGGACATATTAGAGCTAAAGAAAGAAATATAATGGGAATGTTAGAGAGAACGAAAAATGGAGAGAACATGAGAGAGAAATAAAACGGGGATGTTAGAGAGAAGGTGTGAAATTGGATGGACACATTAGAGTGAAAGAAAGAAATATAATGGGAATGTTAGAGAGAACGAAAAATGGAGAGAAATATGAGAGAGAAAATAAAAAAAACAGGGATGTTAGAGAGAAGGTGTGAAATTGGATGGACATATTAGAGAAAAGAAAGAAATATAATGGGAATGTTAGAGAGAACGAAAAATGGAGAGAACATGAGAGAGAAATAAAACAGGGATGTTAGAGAAAGGTGTGAAATTGGATGGACACATTAGAGTGAAAGAAAAAAAATATAATGGGAATGTTAGAGAGAACGAAAAAATGGAGAGAACATGAGAGAGAAATAAAACGGGGATGTTAGAGAGAAGGTGAAAATTGGATGGACACATTAGAGAGAAAAGAAAAAATATAATGGGAATGTTAGAGAGAACGAAAAATGGAGAGAACATGAGAGAGAAATAAAACGGGGATGTTAGAGAGAAGGTGTGAAATTGGATGGACATATTAGAGGGAAAGAAAGAAATATAATGGGAATGTTAGAGAGAACGAAAAATGGAGAGAACATGAGAGAGAAATAAAACGGGGATGTTAGAGAGAAGGTGTGAAATTGGATGGACATATTAGAGGGAAAGAAAGAAATATAATGGGAATGTTAGAGAGAACAAAAAATGGAGAGAACATGAGAGAAAAATAAAACAGGGATGTTAGAGAGAAGGTGTGAAATTGGATGGACATATTAGAGGGAAAGAAAAAATATAATTGGAATGTTAAAGAATATAATGGAAAATGTTACGAGAAGATAAAAATGGACATATTAGAGAAAGAAAGAAATATAATGGGAATGTTAGAGAGAAAAAAAAAAACATGAAGAGAAATGTTTAGAGAAGAAAATTGGAATGGACATATTAGAAAGAAAAAAAAATATAATGGGAATGTTAGAGAGAACGAAAAATGGAGAAATGAAGAGAAATAAAACAGGTATGTTAGAGAGAAGGTATAATGGATGGACATATTAGAGAGAAAACGAAATAAATATAATGGGAATGTTAGAGAGAACGAAAAAATGGGAGAGAACATGAGAGAGAAATAAAACATAATGGATGTTAGAGAACGAAAAATGGAGTGAGAAAATTGGATGGACATATTAGAGAAAAAAGAAAGAAATATAATGGGAATGTTAGAGAGAACGAAAAATGGAGAGAACATGAGAGAGAAATAAAACGCTTGATGTTAGAGAGAAGTGAAATTGGATGGACATATTAGAGAGAAAGAAAAAAATATAATGGGAATGTTAGAGAGAACGAAAAATGGAAGAACATGAGAGAGAAATAAAACGGGGATGTTAGAGAGAAGGTGTGAAATTGGATGGACACATTAGAGGGAAAGAAAAAAAATATAATGGGAATGTTAGAGAAAAACGAAAAATGGAGAGAACATGAGAGAAAATAAAACAGGGATGTTAGAGAGAGAAGGTGTGAAATTGGATGGACATATTAGAGAGAAAGAAAAAAAATATAATGGGAATGTTAGAGAGAACGAAAAATGGAGAGAACATGAGAGAGAAATAAAACAGGGATGTTAGAGAGAAGGTGTGAAATTGGATGGACATATTAGAGGAAGAAAGAAATATAATGGGAATGTTAGAGAACGAAAAATGGAGAGAACATGAGAGAAAATAAAACGGGGATGTTAGAGAAAAGGTGTGAAATTGGATGGACACATTAGAGGAAAGAAAGAAATATAATGGGAATGTTAGAGAACGAAAAAATGGAGAGAACATGAGAGAAAATAAAACAGGGGATGTTAGAGAGAGGGTGTAAATTGGATGGACATATTAGAGAGAAAGAAAGAAATATAATGGGAATGTTAGAGAGAACGAAAATGGAGAGAAGAGATGAGAGAGAAAAATAAAACGGGAATGTTAGAGATGTTAGAGGTGTGAAATTGATGGACACATTAGAGGAAAGAAAGAAATATAATGGGAATGTTAGAGAGAACGAAAAATGAGAGAACATGAGAGAAAATAAAACGGATGTTAGAGAGAAGGTGTGAAATTGATGGACATATTAGAGGGAAAAAAAAAATATAATGGGAATGTTAGAGAGAACGAAAAATGGAGAGAACATGAGAGAAAATAAAACGGGGATGTTAGAGAGAAGGTGTGAAATTGATGGACATATTAGAGAGAAAGAAAACGAAATATAATGGGAAATGTTAGAGAGAAGGTGAAAATGGAGAGAAAAATATGAGAAAATGGTTAGAAGAGAGGTGTGAAATGGATGGACATATTAGAGAGAAAGAAAAATATAAAACGAGAGATGAAAAATGGAGAGAACATGAGAGAGAAATAAAACGGGGATGGAGAAGGGTGAAATTGGATGGACACATTAGAGAGAAAGAAAGAAATATAATGGGAATGTTAGAGAGAACGAAAAATGGAGAGAACATGAGAGAGAAATAAAACGTTGATGTTAGAGAGAAGGTGTGAAATTGGATGGACACATTAGAGAGAAAGAAAAAATATAATGGGAATGTTAGAGAGAACGAAAAATGGAGAGAACATGAGAGAGAAATAAAACGGGTATGTTAGAGAGAAGGTGTGAAATTGGATGGTCACATTAGAGAGAAAGAAAGAAATATAATGGGAATGTTAGAAGAACGAAAATGGAAAAAAATGGAGAACATGAGAAATAAAACGGAGATGTTAGAGAGAAAGGTGTGAAAATTGGATGGACACATTAGAGACAAAGAAAAATATAATGGGATGTTAGAGAACGAAAAATGGAGAGAACATGAGAGAGAAATAAAACGGGTATGTTAGAGAGAAGGTGTGAAATTGGATGGTCACATTAGAGAGAAAGAAAGAAATATAATGGGAATGTTAGAGAGAACGAAAAATGGAGAGAACATGAGAGATAAATAAAACGTTGATGTTAGAGAGAAGGTGTGAAATTGGATGGACACATTAGAGAGAAAGAAAAAATATAATGGGAATGTTAGAGAGAACGAAAAATGGAGAGAACATGAGAGAGAAATAAAACGGGGATGTTAGAGAGAAGGTGTGAAATTGGATGGACATATTAGAGGAGAAAGAAAAAAAATATAATGGGAATGTTAGAGAGAACGAAAATGGAGAGAACATGAGAGAGAAATAAAACGTTGATGTTAGAGAGAAGGTGTGAAATTGGATGGACACATTAGAGTGAAAGAAAAAATATAATGGGAATGTTAGAGAACGAAAATGGAGAGAACATGAGAGAAAATAAAACGGGGATGTTAGAGAGAAGGTGTGAAATTGGATGGACATATTAGAGAGAAAGAAAAAAATATAATGGGAATGTTAGAGAGAACGAAAAAATGGAGGAGAACATGAGAGAGAAATAAAACAGGGATGTTAGAGAGAAGGTGAAATTGGATGGACACATTAGAGAAAGAAAGAAAAATATAATGGGAATGTTAGAGAGAACGAAAAATGGAGAGAACATGAGAGAGAAATAAAACGTTGATGTTAGAGAGAAGGTGTGAAATTGGATGGACATATTAGAGAGAAAGAAAAAATATAATGGGAATGTTAGAGAGAACGAAAATGGAGAGAACATGAGAGAGAAATAAAACAGGGATGTTAGAGAAGAGGTGTGAAATTGGATGGACATATTAGGGGAAAAGAAGAAATATAATGGGAATGTTAGAGAGAACAAAAATGGAGAGAACATGAGAGAGAAATAAAACGGAGATGTTAGAGAGAAGGTGTGAAATTGGATGGACATATTAGAGGAAAGAAAAGAAATATAATGGGAATATTAGAAGAACGAAAATGGAGAGAAACATGAGAGAGAAATAAAACGGAGATGTTAGAGAGAAGGTGTGAAATTGGATGGACATATTAGAGGGAAAGAAAAAAATATAATGGGAATGTTAGAGAACGAAAAATGGAGAGAACATGAGAGAAATAAAAAACGTTGATGTTAGAGAAAGGTGTGAAATTGGATGGACACATTAGAGAGAAAGAAAAAAATATAATGGGAATGTTAGAGAAACGAAAAATGGAGAGAAACATGTGAGAGAAATAAAAACGCAGGATGTTAGAGAAATGTGAAATTGGATGGACACATTAGAGAGAAAGAAAAAATATAATGGGAATGTTAGAGAGAACGAAAATGGAGAGAAACATTAGAGAGAAATAAAACGGGGATGTTAGAGAGAAGGTGTGAAATTGGATGGACACATTAGAGACAAAAGGAAAAAAATATAATGGGAATGTTAGAGAGAACGAAAAATGGAGAGAACATGAGAGAAAATAAAACGTTGATGTTAGAGAGAAGGTGTGAAATTGGATGGACACATTAGAGAAAAAGAAAAAAAAATATAATGGGAATGTTAGAGAGAACGAAAATGGAGAGAACATGAGAGAGAAATAAAACAGGGATGTTAGAGAGAAGGTGTGAAATTGGATGGACACATTAGGGGAAAAGAAAAGAAATATAAACGGAAATGTTAGAGAACAAAAATGGAGAGAACATGAGAGAGAAATAAAACGGACATAGAGAGAGAAAGGTGTGAAATTGGATGGACACATTAGAGAAAAGAAAAGAAATATATAGGAATGTTAGAGAGAACGAAAAATGGAGAGAACATGAGAGAAAATAAAACAGGGATGTTAGAGAGAAGGTGGAAAAATGGATGGACATGTTAGAGAGAAAGAAAGAAATATAATGGGAATGTTAGAGAGAACGAAAAATGGAAACATGAGAGAGAAATAAAACGTTGATGTTAGAGAGAAGAAATTGAAATTGGATGGACACATTAGAGAAAAAGAAAAATATAATGGGGAATGTTAGAGAACGAAAATGGAGAGAACATGAGAGAGAAATAAAACAGGGATGTTAGAGAGAAGGTGTGAAATTGGATGGACATATTAGAGGAAAGAAAAAATATAATGGGAATGTTAGAGAGAACGAAAATGGAGAGACATGAGAGAGAGAAATAAAACGGATGTTAGAGAGAAGGTGTGAAATTGGATGGACACATTAGAGACAAAGAAAAATAATGGAATGTTAGAGAAACGAAAAATGGAGAGAACATGGAGAGAGAAAATAAAACAGGGATGTTAGAGAGAAGGTGTGAAATGGATGGACATTATAATGGGAGAAAGAAAAGAAATATAATGAAATAAAGAATGTTTGGAGAACGAAAATGGAAGAACATGAGAGAGAAATAAAACAGATATGTTAGAGAGAAGGTGTGAAATTGGATGGACATATTAGGGAGAGAAAGAAAAAATATAATGGGAATGTTAGAGAGAACGAAAAATGGAGAGAACATGAGAGAAATAAAACAGGATGTTAGAGAAAGGTGTGAAATTGGATGGACATATTAGAGAGAAAAGAAAAGAAATATAATGGGAATGTTAGAAGAACGAAAAATGGAGAACATGAGAGATAAATAAAACGTTGATGTTAGAGAGAAGGTGTGAAATTGGATGGACATTAGAGAAAGAAAAAAAAAATATAATGGGAATGTTAGAGAGAACGAAAAATGGAAGAGAACATTAGAGAGAAAATAAAACAGGGATGTTAGAGAGAGGTGTGAAATTGGATGGACATATTAGGGGAAAGGTTAAAGAAATGAGAGATATAGAGAATGTTAGAGAACAAAAAATGGAGAGAGAACATGAGAGAGAAATAAAACGGAGATGTTAGAGAAAGGTGTGAAATTGGATGGACATATATAAGAGGAGAAAGAAAAAAATGGAAATATAATGGGGAATGTTAGAGAGAACAAAAAATGGAGAAGAACATGGAGAGAGAAATAAAACATTTGATGTTAGAGAAAGGTGTGAAATTGGATGGACACATTGGAGAGAAGAAAAAAAAACGTATAATGGGAATGTTAGAGAGAACGAAAAATGGAGAGAACATGTGAGAGGAGAGAAATAAAAACGTTGATGTTAGAGAGAAGGTGTGAAATTGGATGGACACATTAGAGACAAAAAAAAATATAATGGGGAATGTTAGAGAACGAAAAATGGAGAGAAAATGTGAGAGAAATAAAACGAGGATGTTAGAGAGAGAAGGTGTGAAATTGGATGGACATTAGAGAAAAAAAAAATATAATGGGAATGTTAGAGAGAACGAAAAATGGAGAGAAATGAGAGAGAGAAATAAAACGGGGATTTGAGAGAAGGAGAGAAATTGGATGGAAATTGGATGGGAATGTTAGAGTAAAAAAATGAGAGAACAAAAAAAAATATAATGGGGATGTTAGAGAACGAAAATGGGGAATGTTAGAAACAAAAATGAGAGATAAATAAAACGTTGATGTTAGAGAAAGGTGTGAAATTGGATGGACACATTAGAGAGAAAGAAAAAAATATAATGGGAATGTTAGAGAGAACGAAAAAATGGAGAGAACATGAGAGAGAAAAACAGGATAAATAAAAATGGGATGTTAGAGAGAAGGTGTGAAACAAAAAATGGATGGACACATTAGAGAAATGAAAAAATATAATGGGAATGTTAGAGAGAACAAAAATGGAATAGAACATGAGAGAAAATAAAACAGGGATGTTAGAGAGAAGGTGTGAAATTGGATGGACATATTAGAGAGAAAGAAAGAAATATAATGGGAATGTTAGAGAGAACGAAAAATGGAGAGAACATGAGAGAGAAATAAAACGTTGATGTTAGAGAGAAGGTGTGAAATTGGATGGACACATTAGAGAGAAAGAAAGAAATATAATGGGAATGTTAGAGAGAACGAAAAATGGAGAGAACATGTGAGAGAAATAAAACGCGGATGTTAGAGAGAAGGTGTGAAATTGGATGGACATATTAGAGAGAAAGAAATAAATATAATGGGAATGTTAGAGAGAACGAAAAATGGAGAGAACATGAGAGAGAAATAAAAAACAGGGATGTTAGAGAAGGTGTGTGAAATTGGATGGACATATTAGAGACAAAGAAAAAATATAATGGGAATGTTAGAGAAACGAAAAATGGAGAGAACATGAGAGAGAAATAAAAACGTTGATGTTAGAGAGAAGGTGTGAAATTGGATGGACACATTAGAGAAAGAAAGAAATAGGGAAAGAAAGAACGAAAATATAATAAAACAATGTTAGAAGGTGTGAAATTGAACACATTAGAAAAATGGAATGTTAGAACATGGAGAGAACATGAGAGAAAAAAAACGCGGATGTTAGAGAGAAGGTGTGAAATTGGATGGACATATTAGAGAAAAGAAAAATATAATGGAATGTTAGAGAACGAAAAATGGAGAGAACATGAGAGAGAAATAAAACGTTGATGTTAGAGAGAAGGTGTGAAATTGGATGGACACATTAGAGAGAAAGAAAAAAATATAATGTTAGAGAGAACGAAAAATGGAGAGAACATGAGAGAGAAAAATAAAACATGGGGATGTTAGAGAGAAGGTGTGAAATTGGATGGACATATTAGGGGAAAAATAAATGGGAAATATAAAATGAGAATGTTAGAGAGAACAAAAAATGGAGAGAACATGAGAGAGAAATAAAACGGAGATGTTAGAGAGAAGGTGTGAAATTGGATGGACATATTAGAGGGAAAGAAAGAAATATAATGGGAATGTTAGAGAGAACGAAAAATGGAGAGAACATGAGAGAGAAATAAAACGGAGATGTTAGAGAGAAGGTGTGAAATTGGATGGACATATTAGAGGGAAAGAAAGAAATATAATGGGAATGTTAGAGAGAACGAAAATGGACACATTAGAACGAAAATGAGAGAGAAATAAAAAAACGTTGATGTTAGAGAAGGTGTGAAATTGGATGGACACATTAGAGAGAAAGAAAGAAATATAATGGGAATGTTAGAGAGAACGAAAAATGGAGAGAACATGTGAGAGAAATAAAACGCGGATGTTAGAGAGAAGGTGTGAAATTGGATGGACATATTAGAGAGAAAGAAATAAATATAATGGAATGTTAGAGAACAAAAAATGGAGAGAACATGAGAGAGAAAAATAAAACGTTGATGTTAGAGAGAAAAGTGTGAAATTGGATGGACATATTAGAGACAAAAATGAAAAATATAATGGGAATGTTTAGAGAAAAATAAAAAATGGAGAGAGAACAAATGAGAGAGAAATAAAACGGTGATGTTAGAGAGAAGGTGTGAAATTGGATGGACATATTAGAGGGAAAGAAAGAAATATAATGGGAATGTTAGAGAGAACGAAAAATGGAGAGAACATGAGAGAGAAATAAAACGTTGATGTTAGAGAGAAGGTGTGAAATTGGATGGACACATTAGAGAGAAAGAAAGAAATATAATGGGAATGCTAGAGAGAACGAAAAATGGAGAGAACATGTGAGAGAAAATAAAAACGGGATGTTAGAGAGAAGGTGTGAAATTGGATGGACATATTAGAGAAAGAAAATAAATATAATGGGAATGTTAGAGAGAACGAAAAAATGGAGAGAACATGGAGAGATAAATAAAACGTTGATGTTAGAGAGAAGGTGTGAAATTGGATGGACACATTAGAGACAAAGAAAAATATAATGGAATGTTAGAGAACGAAAAATGGAGAGAACATGAGAGAGAAATAAAATAATGGGAATGTTAGAGAGAAGGTGTGAAATTGGATGGACATTGAGAGAAAAAAAGAAAGAAAATATAATGGGAATGTTAGAGAGAAACGAAAATGGAGAGAACATGTGAGAAAAATAAAACGGATGATGTTAGAGAGAAGGTGAAATTGGATGGACACATTAGAGAAAGAAAAA